ATAAAAGATATTTTTAAAAAAGTGTTTATATATCCCCCACCAGTGTGGGTCAGTGGTTGAGCATTGACCTATGAACCAGGAGGTCATGGTTCAATTCCTGATCAGGGCATATGCCAGGTTGTGGGCTCAATCCCCAGTGTGGGGCGTGCAGGAGGAAGCATATCAATGATTCTCTCTCATCATTGATGTTTCTATCACTCTCTCCCTCTCCCTTCCTCTCTGAAATCAATAAAAATGTATCTTTAAAATAAAATTAAAAAGAATAAAGTATCATGATATATGTGGCTTACTTTGAAATAATTCTATGGAGAAAAAAATGACATACAAATAGACACATATAAGTAGAGAAAAATTTGATATATAAAACAAATATGGTTTATATTATAGATAATGTGTGTATAAATATTCATTATACTATTCTTTCAACTTTTTGTATGTTTGAAAAATATTTTTTAATATTTTAAAAAATTTTATACCTCATTGGTTTATACTTAAAAGTATATTCTAAAGTGTTATTTTTTAAACATATAAAGTTTAAAAACACAAAGAGAATCAAGGCTTTTCACTTTTCTAGAAATTCCTTGTCATTGTTTATTGGGTATTTCACAGTTTCAATTTCCTTCACACTAAGTAATAATGCTTTCTATTTGAGTTGGAACTAATACTTACTATTAATTAAACAAACCAAAGAAAATATGAATGCAAGAAACTTACTTAGGTTTTACACAGTATGTTTTCCTCTCCATATTATTCTAGACATTCCCCAACATTCATTGTTACTAGACACAACTCCATTAACCTATCTTCTTGAAAATAATTAGGGAGCAGGGCCTATCATAGTTTACACTTATTTCTCAAAGCCTTTGAGCACCAAAATTTGTAAGATATTTTTTTAATGTGGCACACAAAGCTAATAGGCATGTTTGTCTTATAGAAAATTATGAACTGGACAGTTTCTTTTTTTGGTTTGGAATTTTTAATGGCTTTGGGGGGGGGTAGTTGGTTTGGTGGGATGGGGGTTATGTTTTAATGAAGGCTATAGAAGCCTCGGGGAACCTCAAGGACCCAGAGAAAATCTATGAGAATTTTAAAAATTCAATCATAATGTCCTACTGCTCTCTTCCCCAGGATTTAAGAACACCAAGATTCTGTATGGTGGTCACACAAAAGCCAGTAAGGCATCAGGGCATACACCACCTACCTCTAAAATTCCTATATTTGCTGTTGCAGCTGCTGATTAAAACAAGGTTACTAAATATTTCTACTCATTATTCCTTTTGTTAGATAATGATGATTAATTTTTCTAGGTATATCTAATGTATATATGCATAGCCTGGGGACACAGACGATAGTGTGGTGAAGGCCTGGGGTCGGACAGGGGTAGGTGGAGGGGGGCAAAGAGGGGGAAAAGTCAGGACATCTGTAATATTGTCAAGAATTTTAAAAAAACACAATAAATTTAGCATCAGGAATTTAAAATATGGGCTTCTTATGAATGTAGCTTCCACCACAATGTCACACTTTCATTTGACAAATGCTTATTTAAAATTCTCTCTACTTTCATGACATGAAAAATCCCTTCAAAATGTATGCTATTAAAATGTCTAAATTTGGAAAACATCTGGCCTGTAAAATTATTTGGGGGGCGGGGTGGTTCTTTAAGTACATTGTTTGAGGTAGTGTATTTGGAAAGAATTTACTTATCATTCTCAGGCCTGAGAACTAGCCCTGAAAACAAATGTATGCAGTAGTTTGCTGCTACCATAGGGAATCAATAGTCATTTATTTAATTTGCTAAGACAATGGAAATTAGTAACTTCCAGCCAGATGTGTGATATACACATCAAACAAACTGCAACCTGTTCATTATGAAAATCCTGTCAACACACACACAGAGCCACTTGATGACATTGTATCTAAGGCAGTTTCCATATTTGTAGTTATAAATATTGTCCTAAGAATTTTTATACAAAGATTTGGAGCTGAGACTCATAAAAGGGTAATCAATTTCAGCTTTTCATCTTGCGTGCCTCTGTGTTTATTTCTATTTTCATTTAGAGGCATAAAACATTCAGAAAAACGTGTGCCTTGCTATTTTTTCCTTCTGTAAATCATTTATCCTCATTACATCTTTTTAATCTGATGTAAAGTTGGTAGCCTAATCCTGCAGCTCTGGAGAAGTGTGTAAAGTGAAGAATGACAGAGTCAACAGCAGACAGAAAATACACTTATGCACTGGAAAACAAAACAGAATATTCCAAAATGACTCCAAACATAAATTAAGTTTACCCATTGGGAGGTCTAACTTGCATTCTGATCATTTATATGGGTCTGTGTGACTATATACCCTGCTGTTTGATAAAAAATGATTACTAACCACAGGCACCTACCAAAGAACAGAATGTATGTATAATGCTTGTGATGTCTCAGACATACAAAGCACCTTCTTAAAGAATGTCCATTTCCTCTCCATGGTAAGCAGACATAATTTTTCACTCTTTAATACTTATGCTTCACAGAGTGGCTTATTTTATGAATTATGATTTGCCATTTTCTCTTATGCTTATCTTAATAATATGAAAAGCTGCATTCATAAAATGGATGATTTGTTTCATGATACCCAAATAGTTACTGTTCTATGCTCTGTATTAAAATACACAGCCTTTGTGCTATTACAAAAACCTAATAGTATTTATGTTAGCACTATTTAGTAACATGAAAAAAAATACAATTCTTAGTAACCACATTATTCTTAAGTACTGAATTCTCATCTAAACTGAATTCATTTTCCAAGTCTATTAATTAAATTTTCTTATTAAGCAGGCACAAATTAACTAGCCTTATTGCCAAGCATAATATTTCCAACTACTACATTTTTAATCGGCAATTTAAAAGAACGTGGAGTGAATCAAGTCCTCATCATCTGTAGTCTGATTCCAAAAAGCACCCCTTAACCAACTTCCTAATGTCAAACTAGCATTTCTACTAAACACCTGGTGTGTCAACTGGTCCAAAGCATATAACTCCTCCGGAGGCACCCTAAAATCACAACCACCAAAAAAAGAAAGAAAAGGAGAGCAACTGCGCACACAAAAGGTTTCTTCATAAAAGCTTCAACCTTTTGACTTTCACAAACATTATACAGAACGTGCTTTCTTCACCAGCCGCACACCGGACCATGTGATCCCCCTGCAGGGCCACACGAGATTATTGTTTC